TGTAATAGTTTGAAAATAGATATGTAAAATGAATAATTTGGAAGTTTCATTCAAATTATTCTGTTGTGAGCGAATATATGTATTAGCCTTTGAAGGTTTGACAAGATGTGTGCAATATTTTCAACCACCGTACTGGTTGTGCGAAGCTAAGTATCGCTCCTCCATTTTTAGCTTAAATCAAAATATGGCTGAATTGTTGTAATCTATTTAATATTGGAAAAATCTGATGCCATCGAGAGTTGATTATGGCCTGGATAAGTTAATTAATGTCTAATTAATAATTAAGATAACATTTCAGGCCTAAAGAAAAGACCTGCAATTGGAAGATTTAGCTCTTGCTTAATGTATGTTTAATTAATGACAAATAAGCAAAACATTAGGAAAAATAATTCATAATGATTGTTTGGTTTAACAAAACAAGCATGAAATGGTCCAACGCCTACAAGGAGATTTGGTATGTTTTACAGGCTGTAATAACAGGAATAGGTATATAGATGTCATCGTATAAGTACACGATAAGGTTTGTTATTACATGTAGTAGTTATTATAGGTAGATCTAGGAAGTTTTTCAGTTCCGTCAAATTCAGGTATTTAAAGATTGATTATTGTAGTTTGGTAGGAGGGTTGGATGGCCGAATGGTTAGTGCATGCACGTTGTATCATTAGGTCAGTCATTGAGTCAACTGGCGTGGTTTCGAATCTCCGGTTGTACGTGACAAGGAGTAGGGTCGCCTGTCTAACCTCATGGGTTTTCTCTGGGTCCTCCAGTTTCCTCCCACTGCTAAAGACCCCTACGTGCAAGCAAATTATTGAAATAATGACTTAATTTGTGTTGAGTGGAGTTAAACCCCATTTCTCTCTCTCTCTGATTTCACACCATGGAAAACAATTTTTTTAGGTTTGACTCAGTATGTGTGTAGGTGTTACAAACTGACAATACAGATTCACAATAAGACAAATAGCACCAATTGTTTATGGCTTAAGAGTTGATGATTAGTATATTGTAGTTCTGTTCTTTCATTTAACTTAGTTATTCATATGTTGGTAGTTACAGAGGAAATATGGTATTATTAGTACATAGTCATTGACTTACATTAGGGTGCAGTATGATGAATGAATGAATGAATGAAAGAATGAGTGATGAATAAATAAAAGACCCAGTGATTCAATGAATGAATGAGAGAGAGAGAGAGAGAAAGAGAGAGAGAGGTGGACAAAGGAGGTGTCAATCCCCCAAGGCAAATTCTGTCACTTCTTTTGTCTTAAGATTTAAGATATTTTCATCATTCTTGGACCCAATATATAAAAAAAAGTTTAAAATAGAGAGAGAGAGAGAGAGTTTAAGTCCACTCACACAAACTAGGTCATTTCGGGACTAACATATACAATTTATATCAATAATTTGCTTGTGCGTAGGAGTCTTTAGCAGTGGGGAGGACCTGGAGAAAACCCACTAGGTTGGACAGGTGACCCTACTCCTTGTCACGTAAAACCGGGGAATCAAAATCACACCAGCTGACTCAATGACAAGACCTTATGATACAAAGCTCGCATGCTAACCATTCCACAATCCAAACCCCCTGAATGAATGAGAGAAAGACAAATGAGTGAATGAATGATTGGATTAATTAATGAGATATGATTCATAATTCTTTTTTTTATTGACCTGGTACAGCATGTGCTATGAACTTTGTGTAACATGGACAAAAGTCGAGTTAATGAATAATGAATTCTATTAATTTAGATGTTGGTGTGTGAATCATCTCACAGTTTGAATATTACCATCTCTAACAGGGTCCATATCATTTATTGTACTTTGTATGAGATTCTCCGATGCAGTCATGTCAACTGTGCTATAATGAGTCATATTCCCCACTCGGCCCAGTTAAGCACAAGATACAAATACTTAATTCTTGTCTTGAAATGAATTTGACAGTGTGTTCTTTTTTGGGCAAAATATTTTTTGTGAATCATGGTAAAACTTGATATTTGGATCAATTTTAATTTGTAACTCAGCTGTGCATGTAAAAGATCATTTGAATTATTATCTGTTGAACGATTCTTTCTTTATGGATTATGCCACTTGTAATAGTTCAAACATACAAAAGAATTGGCAAGTATGGTATTTTATTGTATGTTTTTTATTTGAATGCGCTTCGTTTATTTTTATTCCGTGTCGAATTGAGTTAAGTGAGGAATATTGAAATGAGGTTCGTTCGTCCTTTGTCTGGTTTTGTTTCTGGAGCATATCTCATAAACTGTTAAATTAGCTAAGTCTCTAACTCAATATCATCCAAAGTCTTCGACATTGAAAACACGAATTATTTGTCAATTCAAATCAACATTGATGCTGTAATCTTACTGGGAAAAGGTAGGCGTCTGATATCCAATATTTAAGATAAAATAAACATTTTACGATTGGTACACGAATGTGTACCATAGTCTGTTTCATTTGTAACAATTGACCAGAAAGAACGAGGCTAGACATATTCAACAACTCATGTCAAACAGTGACGCCATATCTTATCTGGAGAGCACGCGCAATAGACTGGAATAACCAGACGCTAGAAATTGGCATTCGTTTGAGACTTATGTCGTATTTCGCTGGACATAACTGATTTCAAATTAGAGTCAAAATGGAAACAATTGAATGTAAATCAGTTTATATACAATCAGATTACATTATTATATTATGAGTTGCGACCAATTGGGTTAATTTCTAGGTCCCAAATATTAGCGATTTTGCTAATTTGAAGAATTGTGCCGTACAAAGCCTGAATTTGTACCTGACAGTTTTCTGTGGCATCTGCCTTATCTCCAGACTCGGAGGTACATGTAGTAAAATCAGTGAGAAAACGTCCAAAGTTGCATTGGTCATATATCTGGTGGTTAATACCTCAAGGACTTTGCAATTAAATACCAGCAGTGAAATATTTTTAATTTTCACCAGTTGTAAAATCAGCCTTTCGTGGTCTCGCATATTCCTGAAGCAATGGTCCGAGAAATCCCTTTCGTGGTCTCGCATATTCCTGAAGCAATGGTCCAAGAAATCCCTCTCTGACCATTGCTGGATTGACTTCTGATACTTGAGCTTTTGAGGGAGTGTGTCTATTCTACCCGTTCAATCAAATCTATCCCAAGTACAGCAACATGACAGCCCTCGTTTAATCTGGGGTCTTCTCTAAAACTTTGGACAGTGATTTAATGTACATGTACATGTACATGTATTAAAAACAGTGAAAGTATTGTTCATCTCAAAATAGTATTGTTTACATTGTAAGCATCGATAGCCTTGTTTGTCACGCAATTAGTTTTTCTGCAATATTCTGCTATGCGCTGGTTGAATGTGAGTAAAAATTTTGTGAGTCATGATGTACATGTAACGTTATGTAAACAATGTGGAACTCTGTTTAAACCCGAATGACATTGTTACACTGTTAGGCATTGGTTGTTAAACAGACTATTGACCAGTTATAATTTGGAACAGAAATTTGCTTTCATTACGACAGTGCTTCACTGGGATTAGGTCTAATTAAACGAAACACTGCAAGGAGTATGTGGTCTCATGGAGACTTAGTGTTGAAAGTTAATTTCCCGTCCTTATAAAAATGATAAATAATCTGTTGCCATACATTGAGTGCTAGATCAACCATGCCTACATTGATATAGACTGTCAGACGTTAATTACGTCTATATTATTAGGTGGTTATTTGACTTCCAAGACGACATTTTAATCAACGGATGTCGCTGACCATAGATTTAATCAATATGAAAGTGAGGTCAGTACTGAATTAAAGACAGACGGTTGACATGAGACGTGTAATGAAGAGAAACTGAGGGGGTTAATGCCTGCAACAACAGGCTGATAAAAACGACCAGATTGAAAACCACAGATGTATGATATACGTTAGCACGTCATTTCAGACTCAACACAGACAACCTTTCAGACTCAGTTTGACGACGGTTCGGACTTATTTGACGACTTTTCGGACTCGGTCTCGTGATGTTTCGGTTTCGGATGAATAATTAAAAGACTGTTGAAAATTTGTGTGATTTATTTGTAATAGTTGTTTTGTTTTATTCAATTGGTCGGCGATGTTTGAGACCGCTAATAAAAAGATAACACTGCTTGTTCTATTTTCATGGGCGAGTACTGAGACCGAAACCATATTTTTTTTAGTCCAAATGACGCCTGGACCGAAATGACATGTTATTTGATATACAATGTGTTTTATCACAACTTTTGACATTTAATCAAACTATTTTTGTCACATTATGCTAAGATATATATTTTATTTGCCTGCACCAATAAAGATGGCCATACATCATGTAATGGAGGGAAACTAAAATGAAATGAAATGGGGTTTTATGTCTTATTCGTCTGAACCAGCCAGGCTAATGAAGACACCCATGCACCAGGCATTGTGATATGGGGTAATTTTGACTCCACAATGGCACTCATCCTTGGTATCCCTAGTGGTCTCATTCCGTTCTACTCCACTATACCATGGGGTATTCACATATTCAAATTATCTGCCCTTGATCGTAGTTTGATTCTACAAAACAATCAAAAATGGTTTACAAATCAGTCTTAGCCTCATTGTTTACGTTTACAACAATATGGCGGCTTGTTCGCTCGATTATGAGAGAGGCCACAAGTTGGATCAAGGTGTAGATATTTTGAATGCTTGTCTCCCCCGCCCCCTCCCCGCCCCCCCATGAAAAAACCCACGGGTTAGTGAAGTGGAACGCAAGGAGACAACTGGGGATACCGAGGATGAATGGCACTATAGCCTGCTGTCAGGAATCTTTAACATGAAGCCAATTGTAAACATGGAACTTTGTTTTTTTGTCCCATCTGAATGACTAGTCACCGAACACTTTGATCCAACCTTTGGGCTTTCAAATTTATGCAGGATTTACTTGGGCTCAAAATTTTGACTGGGCATTTAACAATTTTCTTAGAGAATTTATTTTTAATTGTCAATTTATTGTTTCAGCTCCAAGCAAGCCAAAGTTTTTGGATCGTATCATAACTGGAGTAAGACAGAAAACAAAATCCAAACATCGGACAGATGGAGCTCTTGATGGAACAGGCTCAAATTGTGATGATGTAGATGGAGCCCGAGGGGATAGCTGGTGCTCAGAATCCGAAGTATCCAATTCAGAATTCTTCCTCTCTGCCGAAGGAAGTTCTATCAATTTAGATGATGTGTCACAAATATGTTATGACTCCGATACCGAAACCGACGCCTATCAGACTGCAACTGGGTCTTTGAATTCCCCGTCAAAATCTTCAAAAGTTTGGTCGACGCCAACGTCTCCGGTGATTTCTGGGATTGTTCGTAGAAGGTGCTTGGATTATTCTAAATTAACAGAATCAGATACAAGTCCGGAATTAGTGCGGAGAGGATCCAAATATTCCGTGAAAGGAACTGTTCATTCCACACCCAGCTCACCTTGTGGATCTAAATCTCTGTGTTCAAAAGAAACGGAAACGGTACAACGGACAGAAAACTGGCTGAAAAACTACTTCAGTCAGTCTCGTGATGAAAAATTCTCAACTAGTGTTATGTCGAAGGGCTATGTGCGGGCATTAGTGGAAAAAATAAACGATCTGCATCATGAGATAACGCCTGATTGTAATGAAGAGTTACTGACCTTGTGTAGTGACGAACGTGTTAGCGACTCGAAGGAAACTGTTCAAACGAATCTTTCTGAGTCAAAGTCAGACGTCAATTTAAAATCCCTTGTGGTGCAACTTAACAATGAACAAAGTGATAAAATGTTCAAAAGTTTTCACAAGGAAAAAAGTAGTTCTAGAAAAAATAGCGTAGACTCGGCAAGTGCTGAGGCAAATAAACATCATCATACGAAAAAAAGTAAACCTGCAAATATAGACGTAAAACATACTGCTCCGAAATCTGTTTTGAATAGATCTGAAAGTTTGTCAAGCCAACCAATGAGTCCTGCGGAATTATTTGATAATAGTTGGTCCGATTCGGACATCGGAAGTTTTGATTCATCCGGCGATGAAAGTGAAATAGAGGAGAGTATCCCGGTGCCAGTTGTAGAAGAAAAGGTTTGTACATCTGAGTTTTGCCAAGATCCTCTCCTCTCCCAGAAAAATGGAGATTCAGAATCAGGATATTGTACAAAAACGTCAAAATATTGCACGCAAAATATCGTATTTCTGAAGATTTTAGAAATATTTCTGTAGCAAATGTACATGTAGCCGTTTAAACAACACATGTATAATTTGGGGGGTTGGATGACTGAATGGTTAGCGCGTGCGTGTTATATCATAAGGTCTGTGATTTCGATTCCCCGGTTGTACATGTACATGTACGTGACAAGGAGTAGGGTTGCCTGTCCAACCTCGTGGGTTTTCTCTGGGTCCTCTGATTTACTCCCACATACTACATGACATACATTTATGTCCGTCTTCATTAGCCCAGTCAGAGCTAAACCCCATTTCATTTAATTTATTTTGTAATGTCAATGTTTTCTATTTTTCTATTATATTTCATTTTGTGATGTCGATGTTTTCTATTATATTTCAGCTGGAATCTGTTTGTGAAATAAAACCACGAGATAAATTACAATGTATAGCGGAGGAATTATATAGAACAGAAAAATCATACGTGGATCGACTTCATCTTTTACATCAGGTAAGAAAACAGATTTTATGTTGTTTTATCCGGCCCCAAACAAAGTTAAGGGAAGGGTATTCAAACGGGCTCCATCCGTCCTTTCGTTCTAGTTTTTTTTAAAGTTTTTTTTATTCCATCCAAAAGAAAGTTAAGGGAAGGATATTGGAATGTCATCCATCTTTCAGGTTTTTGTTTTGAAAGCGTATCTCACAAATCGTTCAAAACATATTTGATAATGAAGAAGCTTTGTATTCACATCATCTACTCACATTTCAGTAAATTTTTTATCCTCAATACATCTTGTGATATTGATGCTAATTTTCATGATTGATATCTTTTTTGATCAGTACTGTATTTGTGAGAACTTAACGCAGAATGCACAAAATATAAAATTCAATTACATGTATGTGTATAATCGGAGAAGTCGATACATGTAGAATGTACCTACATGTACGTATAAATGTACATGAACAGTCGGCCTGTCAACAGTCGGCCTGTCAACAGGGCTGTTTTGCATTTACCTATAGGCTTGGCAGGCTGAAGCCTAGAGCCTCAAGATCTAGGTGATGTACATAAACAATGTCTAAGGGAGGTAACTCATCCTAAAACAAGATGATGACGCCCATGAAATTAATTTAAGTGTCCATTTGATTGGATGCCAGTTCAATATCCAACACTCTTAATTTTTTTTATTGTAAAATTTCTCTTTTCATTGGCCATATATATGTTTATTAAATTAATCCTAATTCGTTGTCACGATTTATGTTTGTTTATATTAATGCAAGAAATATGAGATTTATTGCGGGAAGGGTTAGGCTTGGTCCAGGGTTAGGGCTAGAGGTAGCGCTAGTCCTGTTTACATCTCAAAACTTTGACGAAATCTGCAGGTCATAACCCTTGCCCTAACCCACAATCCACCTGTCAAATTTGCAGGATCGTCTCCGATCTAGGGTTCTCCGTAATCTTACACATCATCCTTGGCTTTGTTCTTTAATGTTTAAAACACATTTTCATTTTCATCGGAGATTGGTATTTGAATACCCTAGGGCCTCGCTTTATCTAAATCTGGCACCGTCCATCAAATGTTTAAAGTGGGAGGATTGTTGATTCCTAATAACGTTAATTAGTTAATTAGTAGTCTTGAATTAATTAGCTCCAGCACACCTGGGAATCATTTATAAATACACTTAATGATACAAGAACACATTCTCATTTTAATAATGGAGACTTTTAATTAAACCGATTTTATAAAGAATTGGGGTACTTGAAAGAGGAATCGTTATTTTTATTCCATCTGTTTTCACGTAATCTGATTCTGACACTTCCAAAGTAGAACTATTATATTTAGCCTGTAGCCTTGTATGACAGGCAGTTTATTTAAATTTTTATATTCCATCCACTTCAAGATTTAAAATGTGACAGTGCTACCTTCCTCACAGAATAAACAAAGGGAAGATTTTAATAATATGGATCTGTTATCAATTGGCCTTGAGATCTCATCTGGAAGGGTTTATTATTCCCTTAAGTTGCTCTTAACATTTTCAAGTTATCTTACGATCATCTTAACCTTAGCAACAGACTTAAAGATAGGTTCCCAGAAAAGTATTTATCGGGTGGTTATTTCCAATAAAAGTATGGCAATTTTGGTATATACATGTACAGAGATATCCAATCTTACTAGAAAAATACTGGATTCCCTGAAAAACACTTATGGAGCGTATAGAGGACAACAATGTAAGGGTTCCACTAATCGACAGCCCGACGATAAGGAATATCTGCACGCGTGACTTCGAAGGTTGCACGCGGAGATTGAGCGCTTGATGTACTTGTTAATAAATTTTACGAAGAGTTAGACATACAACACTTTCTGAGATAAAGATCACGGAAAAAGACGTGGGCAGTGGATAATCCGAGAATTTAATTAGGATTTGATATTTGTAATAAATAGTCAGCGATTGTGTATGCAATGAATTCTCCTCCGACTTCGCACCCGTAAGTCACATGACACAAACATGACCTCTTTTGATCGATTTTTTATAGCAAGGGTATTCCTTGACAATTACAATGTTTTGAGAAGGATTTGAAGCAAATTTATGATCAATTAATTACTTTGAATATGTTTTTAAGCCAAATATACTGTATCATCAAATCACCTAGTTTGCTGTATCTTTAAACAATAAAATCTTAGTGACAGACGTGGAGGTAGATCTTGTCCATAGACATTGGGGGAATCTTAGTCACAGACATTGAGAAACTCTTAGCCACAGACATTGAAGGGGACTGGATGGCCGAATGGTTAGCACCTGCGCGCTGTATCATAAGGTCTGTCATTGAGTCAACTGGCGTGGTTTCGAATACCCAGTTGTACGTGATAAGGAGTAGGGTCGCCTGCCCTCTGGTTTCCTCCCACCGCTACAGACCCCTATGCGCAAGCAAATTATTGAAATAAAATTGAACCATATGTTAGTCCCTAAATGACCTCTCTCTCTCTCTCTCTCTCTCTCTCTCTCTCTCTCTTTTCATTAGCCAAGTAAGTGCAGAAAATTGAGACATTAAACCAAACTTCATTTCACTTCGTATCATTCGTGTGTGTATTGTGCAATATATTTAATATTAAACCTCTGTTTCTTATTCCAGAAATTTTATTTTCGAGTAGTTCAGGCCAATCAAAATCAACCATTTATGACTCCAGATGCGGTCAATCAGATGTTTTCTAACGTTAAAACTATCTATCAGTTTCATCATGACTTTCTTCTACCTCAGTTAGAGGAACGCATGGAAAAATGGTAAGTAGCCGTCAATGTTTAGTTGGGAATGGATAACTCATCTCTTTGATTAATAGAGGGTGCTTTGAGTCATGGGTTCGATGTATAATCATACCGGTACCGGTACAATCTGTTTCACAGAGGATTACGAAAGTCTTCTAACATCTCTGTAAAATATGACTACCTTCAACACGCGATGTGTGATGCAGGACGGAGGGGCTGACAAGGAAAGCTGTCTAGTCGTTCGGATGGGACGAAAAACCGAGGTCCCGTGTACACATTGGCGTGCACGTAAAAGATCCCTTGACAGTTGGAATTCGATATAAGAGTAGGCCGTAGTGCCGCTGTCCGGGCAAAATTTCCCTCATAGCACACTGTATGGCGTATGCCCGTCTTCATTAGCCCAGGTTAGGAGCAGAACAGTAGGACGTTAAACTCCATTTCATTTCATTTCATTTTCAACACGCGACGTCTCATCACACGGCGTCAATCATTGGCTCAATGGTGCGTGCATTGTTTACATAAGACCTTACTGATTCCGGCGAAATGGAGCCTTTTACTCATTTACCCTCAATAGGAAATAATTTTTACCTACAAATACGTCAAACGTCTTTATTTATTTTTTTAAAGCTTAAAAAAAATGTTTTAGAATTTAATTTGTCGGAGGAAAAAAGTTAATATTTGTGGCTCATTAAGTCGCATCAATGTCATCCTTATCAGTGATTGTTGCGGCCTAGCGAATATTCACTGCTGATCAGTGTGGTACCAGTTATCATAATCATAATGCACAATAAATGTCAAAAATACACTATGACTGAGATATGCTGTAAATACGTTTTGGAGCGTTTGACATATTTGAGAGGACGCGGTAAATAAGTGAACGGGTCGTCCATTTATAAACGCCTCACAGAGAAATTAAACGGTCAACTAAACGGTCACCATTAAACTAAGCCATAGTAGGTCTCGAACAACTTTAATCAATTATCAAACGATATTTTGAAAGTAAACTACATGTATATGTATACTTTCTCAGGTTGAAACCCCCAATTAAACGATACCAGTTCTGTAGTACTCCCCTGACCCCACTCCCCCTCTGTTTTGTACCCATAAGAGATCTTGTTATTTGTGCTGTCAGCAAGGCCCGATGTATTGTATAGAATAAAATCAGACATCAAGGTAGGCAGACAGGCAATTTTATTGAATTTAACATCCATGAAATCGCAATCTGATTACAATACAGATCTATATATCGTTTCGTTTTTTTATAATTCAATGGCCTACACTACATGAAGATCTGACTGGTTGTAGTAGAAGGTCGCGTCAGAGCTCATACGAGCGGCTTTTGACCCTATGAGGTCAGACATTTGATTAACCAATCAGCGTTGATGTTTCTAGTGGGTTACCCACGGTTCCGTGCACCTCACGCCAAAAGCTTGCCGTAACAGACCGTTTCATTAGCTAAACGAAATTTTGAGCTATAAAAAATGAAATGAAATAAGATCTGTGTTTTAATCAGATTGATGAAATCGCAATCAAAAGTTCTTGTTTTTGTTGAATATATTTTACTTTCCTATTTTTAACAGGGAAAATAATCCACGTATTGGTGACTTGATGAAAGAGAATGCTCCTTTTTTGAAGCTGTATACGGACTACGTGAAGAATTTCGACAATGCCATGAATCTAATCAATTATTGGCAGGAAAAATCAACCAAATTTTCTAGTATTATACGAGAGGTGCAGGTATGGAGTAGAATTTTATATATCATGACATTTCAAAGATTTAATATTCTTATTATCCAAGTAATATTTGATTGTGCTTATGGTGCGACCAATATTGAATTATTAGATCTTCAATAGGTACTTGAGTTTCATGAACAAAGGGGGGTGTGGATGGCCGAATAAATAGCGTGTGCGCATTGTATCATAATGTTTGTCATTAAATCAGCTGGCATGGTTTCGATTTCCCGGTTGTACGTGACAAGTAGTAGGATGTCTGTCCTACCTCGTGGGTTTTCTCCGGTTTCCTCTCACTGCTGAAGACACCTACATGTACGTGCAAGCGAATTATTGAAATAAAATTGAACCATATGTTAGATGTTAGTTCGAAATGAACTACTTTGTGTCGAATGGATGTTAAACCCATCTCTCTCTCTCGCTGTCTCTCTCTCTCTCTCTCTCTCTCGCCAGTCAATAACACTGCCAGTTAGTCAAAATTGAGAAATATGACTCAACTGGAAGCCCTTCTCACACTGTTCTATGCATCATTTGCATAAAATCAACACTCAACAACCACTGAAATTCTAATATGCATGTATAAATTGAATAATTGACAAACAGCAAGTAACATATGGTCTCAATTACTAGATAAAATATTTTAAATATTGCCAGTCTGCATTTATTTTATGATGAATATTAAATTGACTTGGAGGTTTTCAATTTATCTTGCAAATTATATTTTACAAGCCTTGTGTACTCTCAGACATAAGACCTGTTTACATTACAAATTATATTATACAAGCCTTGTGTACTCTCAGACATAAGACCCGTTTACATTACAAATTTTAAGCATGCCAGGAACGGTACCTGGCACGGCACGGTTAATGTTTTTGTAGTGTAAACGGGTCAAACATAAGCGTGTGGATTACTGCGCATGCGCGAAACGAACCTTGACCTTTTCCCCACGCAAACTTTGACAGTTCTGTCATCATTTCTGTCTTAATGGCTGCTCAAACTAAATCAACCTTCATAATTGTTTTCAACCGGGTAATTTGCATAGGGACTCAAATTAACTTTCTGTGAAGAGTTGCATATGGCACGGTTCCGATACCGGTTATTTTAGAGTAATGTAGACGGGTCAATTTCTTGAAATTTATCGTGGCCTGGTACCGTGACCAGAACGGCACGTTTATTGCGGCCCAAGTGTAAACAGGGCTATTGGCTGTTCATCAGACGCTTAAATTTAAACTAGTTTTAAAATGTTGGGGTTTATTAGCCATGTGAGTGTTGTGTTCGCCCTTACTTTTGACCTAACAGCTTGACCTTGTCAGAGGTTAGAGTTAATTACGCATGGGCACATGTCATCCTTTTGCCATGAATATAACTCAATGTACATTCCCAAAGCTAGCTGAAGACATTTTTGAAGTTGTCCAGTTCCGATTTTCAAGATAGCAAGCCTTTTTATTAAAAAAAAATCCTTCTCGGAGAGCTATTTTTTTTTTTAAACTGTTTTTTTTGCCCCATTTTTGTGTTCAGACGACAAAGTTAAACTTTGATAACGATTGCCAGACTTTCTAAACCAGTTTAAGTTCAGCGTCTGAATGGCATACAAGTCATTCTGCACACAGAGATCCATCTACTTCATACTTCGAGAATAGATCTCTGTCCTAAATGGCAGCCATATCCAAAAATTTGTATTACAGTTTTACACCGTTTCACATCTGTCATACACATGAAGACTAAATAAACCTTTTCAATTTTATTAAATGGAAATGAAATGAAATGAAATGAAATGGGGTTTAACGTCCTACTGTTCTGCTCCTAAGCAGTGTGCTATGAGGGAAATTTTGCCCGGACAGCGGCACTACGGCCTACTCTTATATCGAATTCCAACTGCCAAGGGATCTTTTACGTGCACGCCAATGTGTACACGGGACCTCGGTTTTTCGTCCCATCCGAACGACTAGACAGCTTTCCTTGTCAGCCCCTCCGTCCTGCATCACTGACAAGGGAGAACCACGCCGGAAAATCTGGATGAACTTTCTCGGCCAATGCAGGGATCGAACACCCAACCTCCAGGCTAGCGAGCTAGCGTCTTACCCACTTAGCCAAATGATCCCCGTATTAAATGGAAGCAGAATAAATACTGAACAAAATTCTCAAAGTATACCTACTGTTTTAGACTAAAATTATTGATTTAGGACTTAAAATGTCGGTCAACTAGCTTAAGTGTCTGTTCTCATGCAGAGCTAATTGTAGACAGGCAGCCTAAGTTTAGTATGCATACAAGTAGCATGAACTATTTTGAGACGATGAGATTGATTATGGTTACAAAAATTCACATATATATGTCATTCAGTTCAGTATGTAGGAAAGAAATTATTAACTTTTTAATTACAGTTTTATATATTTGTTTATTTTATTTTATTTCAGAAATTACCGGAATGTGGTAATCTGACTCTACAACATCATATGTTAGGTCCTATACAGAGAGTTCCTCGATACGAACTATTGCTCAAAGGTACGGTACTCTATCTTAAACTTTTTATTTTCAGTTAATATTAAAAATGTTGATATCATCATCAGTGGTTAAGTGAATAAGGTGCTAGCTTAATAACCATGTTGATCCCATTTTGTCCATTATTCCTCAGGTTTTTCAAGTCAGGTTTGAGTATGTCAGACTAAGATAGACTAAAACAGGAATTTGTTCTTACTGCCCTTTATCAAACGTCACCAATTGATAAAGTTTATCAGACCTATGTTCATGTGGCGTGATTTCAATTCCCCACCGGTACATGACAAGGAGTAGGGTCATCGGTCCAACCTCATGGGTTTCCTCCCACTGCTAAAGACCCCTACGCGCAAGCAAATTATTGAAATAAAATAGAACCATATGTTAGTCCCGAAATGACCTAGCCCTGCACGCAAGCAAATTATCTAAATAAAATTGGATGATATGTTAGTCAAACCTTACTGTAAGTATTTAAATCGGTCTTTGATTCTTTTTTACAGATTATATCAAACATTTGCCTGAAGGATCACCTGACCTCCTAGATGCTCAAGGTAAGAAATCGGTGCCATGGGATATTCATTCACCCTGAATCCCCTAACTTAAACTTTAATAGATTTGGTTTAAAATAAAACTGTTAATTTGTTAAATTTGATTTGTTTTGCAAGTGGGTGTCTGTCTTCCTATAAAAAAGACCCACAGATTTTGAGATAATTAACTGATTTAAACCAAACATGAAATTAAATGACATGGGGTAAACGTCCTGCTGGACTAATGAAGACGTATATACGTCATACAGTGACAGTGGCACTACAGCCTACTTGCCAAGGGATCTTTTACGGGTTCACCAGTGTGTACACGGGACCTTGGTTTTACGTCCCATCCAAATGACTATGTATTGCCAGGCCCTTGATCCTGCACCACTGACAAGAAGGAATCATGCCAGAAAATCCTGATGAACTTTCTCGGCCAGTGCAGGGATTGAACACGGGACTTCCAGGTTAACGAGCCAATGTCTTACTCACTGAGCCACTGTGACTCCAAACAAAAAACGAAGCTTACATTTATAGTTGTACACAAACAACCTGGTTTCTATTATTTCATGTCCTTTTTTAGGTAACAATCATATGTACTACAAATTTAATATCTAATTTAATTTTTTTTTTTTCTCTAGTTGCCCTTGATCTTGTTACCAAGGCTGCAAGCCACGCCAACGAAGCCATGAAAAAAATAGTAAGTTTACATAATTTTCATTTTCAGATATTTTTTGGGGAAAGAGATAAACTTTGCTGGCTTTTTTTTATAGCTGAAATAGAAGGAAAGTTTATTGAAAACATTAGTATAAATTCTGTATCTGTTTTTAATATAAAACCTAATTTTGTTGTTTTCCAGGAGAAATTCCGAAAGTTGTTAGAAATTCACCAGAGTTTACGTGGTATTAATATAGATTTCATCAGTCCAACAAGAGTATTAATACGCGAAGGCCTTATCACTAAAATAGCAGCTAGAAGTGGTGAAAAACAGACTCGTTATCTTTTTTTGGTAAGAAAAGTTTTTACATATTTTCAACGCAGTGGGATGTGATTGATAGACGTGTTTGTTATTCTAGCGTCTGATCATCAATTGAGAAAGTTAAATCCTGTGTAAACTACGATATTGTGCAGTTGAATCTCTAAAAGAAAATATTCCAAAAATGGTTCAATTCCTTTCAGTATCTCCATAGATACGAAGAATTGAAAATTGTGCAATATTCGGCATCATCTACAGACAATATCAAGAAGGGGTATAACCTTGGAATTGAAACCATACCACATGACTCAATGTCAGACCTTCTGATCCAATGCGCACGCGTTAACCATTCGCTGGCGTCCCCATCCAACCCCACACATACACACACACACACACACACACACACACACTTCACAGTTGAAATTCGATGGCAAGGAAACAGAAGCGCCACTGTCCAGGCTAAATTCCTCTCATTGTACGATTTTAAACCCATTTCATTTAATTCAATTAAGTAAATGAAAGAGGACAAGACAGTTTTAAATATTTGAATGATTATTTGATTTGATATATTTCAGTTTAATGATCTGTTGTTAATCTGTAGTGAACCTATGTTAGGGGCGTATAAAGTCCGAGCTCAGATGGATATAGACAGCATGGAGGTATGTTCATACATCACTTTATTTTGACAAGTACATTAGTATTATATGGCCCAGGACCCGAGCATGACATCAATGCAGCCATCATGGAAATGTGACATCATATTGGAAATCAAAAATCCGTCAATCGATGCGCAATTGTCCAAGGAACAAGCATGCCAAGTTTCATGTCGATCATACTTCAATTGGCGGAGTTTGGGGCTTTTTTCGTAGAGCGTCGCCCACAACAAGAACAAGACGAGTAGCGCTTGGAGTCCAGTTCCTGGTCGAATATCAGGAATGATAATATGCTTCAGTCCACATCACTAAGGGTTACGCTCATAGTACAATATGAATATTTGCCCGGTGTCTAGGTTACAGTTAAAAACAGATTACCTCCCTTTATTCATGCACTTTTAAGTCATAGAAAGAGACCCCCAACTTATTCTGCTTAAGGAGCACAACTGGTTTTTGTGTAATTTCATACATCATCCTACTGTGCCCATTTACATCTAGATAGACTGGAATACAATAATCAGTACTCTGCACAAATTTTGTATCTCAAACCAGCACACCTTTCGGTCACAAATCCTACTCCCTAACCACTGTGCCAAATAATTTCATTATTGGTCTAATGCAAGTCCTGGAATTTTGCTAAAGTTTGACTAAGAACACTCTAGCCTTTTGTGTCAATAGATTACGTACCTTTATTAATGCATGCTGCTTAGTTGATCTATAGGGCAATTAAAGATACAGAAAGGCAAGTTTCACAACAGAAGCCTTGCAACCAAAAGTATGGTATGCATTATAATCAAAAATCTATAAATAATAAAACGATTGTTATTTTTTTTTTTTACAGACAAGAGATGGTGATAATTTAAGTATAGCTAATACGTTTAATTTAATGAGTAAACAGAAGACTATAGAATTATTGGATGAGTAAGTTGATGAGATAATTACTAGTCACTAATTTGTATAATATACAGAGCTTAGTCATTAATATGTATAATATACACAAATTACTCATTACTATGTATAATAAACACAAATTACTACTTTGTATAATATACATAAAATACTCATGGCTATGTATAATATACACAAATTACTCATTACTATGTATACTATACACACATTACTACTTTGTATAATATACACAAATTACTACTATGTGTATTATAGTCAGTGCAGGAGGACCGCACTATATACAAGACAAACCTGCGGGCAGGACACACAATATGTACAGACATTTCGAATGTATGTATCAAAACAAGGTCCAGCTGTAAGCATCTACTTGATCATTGCTATGTATTATCTATAAAACTTATTCATTAATTTGTATAATATGCACAAATTACTCTAGACTATATACATAAATTCTGGGTATATTATCTTCAAACACGGGGTTGGGTAACGTAATGACACGATGTATTTGTATAAAGTACACTTTATATTGTTTCGGTTCAACTAATAAAACAAATAATTGTCTTGTTTCAGACAAACACCAGAAGATGAAGTTAATTGGTATGAGGTAAGTTTATATAAACATTTCTTAAGACTTATTTATATCAACTGAGGATTGTCTTTGCATAGTTAACATTTTAAATCAAGCAAATAAGTTTTAAAACATACATTATTTGTGATTTTTATTTCATACTGTTTATTTTGGATGTTTTTTTTTATTTCAATACCTTTTTTTTTTTTTTAAAATTCTATTTTATCCAGTAAAATCCTATGTTATTCATTTAAATTCTATTTTTACTCTTAAAAATTCTATTTTTACTCTTAAAAATTCTATTTTTTTAAAAATCCTATTTTATTCTGTACAAAACTTAATAATTTTTGTTGATTTTTCTTGTCATTAAGTAATTATGCCAGCTCATGTATATTTTTTTTAAACTTCTATTTTGTTCTTTGAAATTCTATTTTATTCTTTGAAATTCTATTTTATTCTGTACAAAACCTAATATTTTTTGTTTCTTTTTTTCTTGTCATTAAGTAATTATGCCAGCTCATGTAATAATTGTTTTGTTGTTTTATAAATTTCTAGTCGATAAAACAAACGGTAATTGAATATAAAGAGAAGAAACAGAGAATTCGAGATAAACAACAGTCACTGACTAATCTAGAATCAGGGGTAAGTCATATAATCATACATATAGCTGATATTCAATCTGCCGATCGCGATTGTCCATTTTTCAGACTGTAATTGATTTCAAGGCTGAATCTTTTGCTAAAATTTAACGTTTAATTATGAAAACAGAACCGAAATATCAATAGTAGGTTATCTCCTGGCTGGGATTAAATTGGATTAAAAAGAGGCTAATCAAAAGATCATAGATATGTGGCTTAAATAGAACTGGGGGTCACGTGGCTAATTGGGTAAGACGCTGGCTCGCTAGTCTGGAGGTCGGGTGTTCGATCCCTGCATTGGCCGAGAAAGTTCATCCAGATTTTCCGGCATGGTTCCCCCTTGTCAGTGATGCAGGACGGAGGGCCTGACAAGGACAGCTGTCTAGTGCTTTGGATAAGACGAAAAACCGAGGTCCCCTGTATATATTGGAATACATGTAAAAGATCCCCTGGCAGTTGGAATTCGATATAAGAGTAGGCGATAGTGCCGCTGCCCGGGCAAAATTTCCCCTCATAGCACACTGTATGGCTTATGCCCGTCTTCATTAGCCCAGTATAGGAGCAGAACAGTAGGACGTTAAACCCCATTTCATTTCATTTCTTAAATAGAACTAAATTAGTTTATGTTTCTAAGTACTAAGACAAATTGGTAGTTCAGATCAGAAGGCAATGGAACATTTTCTTTTACAAAAGAGCTGGCCTCAAGTTCACAAAACATTCTCAGACTTAAGTTAAGAATTTACTCAAAATTGTTTGCCTTATTTTAACAAAAATATAGCCCTTTATAAAACTTTTGTTTTAATGTATCAAATACATCAATAAGAAACTAGATGCAAAGTTTTTTGTTTCTGGATTAAAGATATTACTCATGAACAGTGAACTTAAATCTGAGAATGCTTTGTGAACTCTGGGCTGATTAAATTCTAGCCTGGCTCATTTAGAGAATAGATTTTCTCCTACTCAAAATGTTAAATGAATTGAAATGCATTTCTGATGACATAGGTGATGTTTATATATTTTTAGATTGAAGGTAACGTAGGAGAAAGAGCCCCCCGATGGATCCCTGATGAATCCGCTACAATTTGTATGAGATGTGATGCAGCGTTCTCTACATTTCGTAGACGTCATCACTGTAGAGCCTGTGGTTGGGTAAGAATATTAAATGTTTCTATTGATATTGGTTTATTTGTTCCCCTACTGCTGAAGGGCACTCCATGAGGTCTAAGCACAGTTTGGCTTCAATTGAAATCTGATTTCTTAGATGTGGATCAGTGGGTAGGATGTTTTCCAGTGTTGTTTCACCTTAACACTGTTGTAGGAAGGAGGTCCTAGCAAGGACCAAAAAACGAGGTTCCTTGTACAGGTTTGCGAGCAAGTAAAGAAATCTTGAAAAGTAAACATTTCCCTCATAGCACAATGTATGGCATAAACCTGTCTTTATTAACCCAGGTTGATGTAGAAAAGTCAGGTTTTAAACCAGGGATACTCGTCGGACATTTTTATTAGGGGTTAACAGAGGCCAGAATTAGGTCACCAGAAATTGTTGTCAGCTTCCGGGAAATCTGATCAAATAAGTTCCATTCCCTTTAATAGATTTCAACTAAAAATATTTCTTATGTTAGGTAATTAATACAAAATAAATTGATGAATCTCTCTATATTAAGCGAAGTGTTATTTGTCGATTGTAGTTTGTTATTTATTGTAATTATTTATTGATAAATTTTTATTATTTATTGATAAAATTTTATTATTCATTTTTTGTAATTATTTTATTGGTTGTAATTATTTATTGATTGTAATTATTTATTGATTGTAATTATTTATTGTAATGTATTATATATTTCAGGTTATATGTAGTAAATGTTGTAAGAAAGCACCGTTAGAATATTTAAACAATAAAATAGAACGAGTCTGTCAGAAGTGTTATAATGTTATTGTTAAAGTCAATAAACTAGATATTGATCAAGACTTATCATCGTTCAAGAAAAAAGGTGTTTTACAGGTAAAATTGATAGTAGTTTTTTGGCTGCCGGGGCAAAATTCCCCCCTGCCCCCCGCCATACCCTACAGCATACTATATACTCATTTTCATTAGCCTGCTGGGTGTTGAATCATATTTGATTTGATTTCCCTTCTCCTATAATGTGGGAAGCCATGGTAACTCAGTGAGCAAGACACTGCTCGTTATCCAGAAGGTCCCATGTTGTAGATATTAGAGGGGGTTGGATGACCGAATGGTTAGTGCTTGCACGTTGTATCCTAAGGTCTGTCATTGGGAGAGAGAGAGAGAAATGGGGTTTAACGTCCACTCGACACAAACTAGGTCATTTCGGGACTAACATATGGTTTAATTTTATTTACATAATTTGCTTGCGCGTAGGGGTCTTTAGCAGTGGGAGGAAACCGGAGGACTCGGAGAAAACCCACGAGGTTGGACAGGCGACCCTACTCCTTGCCACGAACAACCGGGGATTCGAAACCACGCCAGTCGACTCAACTGTCATTGGGTCAACTGGTGTGGTTTCGATTCCCCGGTTGTACGTGACAAGGAGTGGTCGCCTGTCAAACCTTGTGGGTTTTCTCTGGGTCCTCTGGTTTCCTCCAACTGCTAAAGACCCCTAAGCGCAAGCAAACTATTGAACTAAAATTGAACCAAATGTTAGTCCCAAAATGACCTAGTTTGTGTCAAGTGGACATTAAACCCCCTTTCTCACTCTCTCTTTCATTGCAGGTTCAAGCTACAGATTGAAATAAAAGTCTATCATATATATCCTGAAATCCCCCAAAACCCCATTGCTATCTTTCTATCACATCTGCCTTCCAAAAATGGTGCAGACATAAAATTAATTGTGCAGAGTGGTCTCCCTTGATAGCTCATTGTTCATTCAATAGATATGTCACAATTATTCGAATATAAAAAATGTACGGTATGTTTATTTACAGGTTCAAGCTAGAGATCCATGTGTTCTTGCCACATATTTACATATGTCTGCTGATAAAGGAAAAAATTGGATGAAAAGATGGTTTGCTGCTCATGAAGATTTTGTTTTATATTCTTTTAAATCTGATCAGGTACGTGGTCATTCATATTTGTGTTACTGTCATAGAGTCAACTGGCGGGGTTTCGATTCCCCAGTTGTACGTTACCAGGAGTAGGGTCGCCTGTCCAGCCTTGTGGGTTTTCTCCGGGTCCTCTGGTTTCCTCCCACTGCTTAAGACTCCTATGCGCAAGCGAATTATTGAAATAAAATTGAACCATGTGTTAGTCCCGAAATGACCTAGTGTTTGTCAAGTGGATGTTAAACCCCATTTCTCTCTCTCTCTCTCATATTTGTGTTAACGCCTCACACCTATATCTCTGATTGATAGGTAGGAGAAATACCACAACAGCTTTTGATAGAAAATGTCAATTATTTGATAAATGACGTAATAAGCATTACAAAATTTACAATTTCTAATCAGAGAAAACAAATGGATAATTTGATAGACTTTGTATTGTATGGGAGTTAGTCATGTAGATATGAAATGTAAATGAAATGAAATGGGGTTTAATGTCCTACTGTTCTACTCCGAACTGGGCTAATGAAGATGGGCATACGCCATACAGTAAGCAAAGAGGGAAATGTTGCCCGGACAGCGGCGCTATGGCCTACTCTTATATCGACTTCCAACTGCCAAGCGTACACAGGACCTCTATTTTTTGTCCCATCCGAATGACTAGTCGGCTGTCCTTGTCAGGCCCTCTGTCCTGCATCACTGACGAGGGGGAACCACGCCGGAAAATCTAAATGAACTTTCTTGGCCAATGTAGGGATCAAACACCCGACCTCCAGACTAGCAGGCCAGTGTCTTACCCACTTAGCCACTGTAACCCCCACTGTACTCATGACTGTAATATACCGAGAATAAATCCCTTCAAGATTTTCAAATTCATTTCTACTTGACAGAAGTACAGTGTGTCTAGTCTTTCGGAGAATACAAAAACAGACTATGCATTTGAAATGTACATAAATGGTCCCTGCCAGGAAGCTCATTTCAGACATTTTTGCCCACCTTGACTGACGGGCAGTGAAATAGACCCCCTGAAGAATTTACGAAACTCTTAAAATATTTGGTTAATGCTAAGTATTGTTGTATTCTTTGGAAAAATATCTTGCCAATCCAAAATAGTGATAAAAAATGAAGGAAAACTGCACAATAAAACACAAACAAGATTGACATTACAATAATATTCATCTTTGATTTTTGGGGTTATTTTATTGATAATTTAATTGATTAGTTTATTGATTATTTTTTTCTATTTTATTGATTATTTTTTTTTATTATTTTATTGATTATTTTTTTTTATTATTTTATTGATTAGTTTATTGATTACTTTATTGATTAGTTTATTGATTTGATTAGTTTATTGATTAGTTTATTGATTTGATTAGTTTATTGATTAGTTTATTGATTTGATTACTTTATTGATTACTTTATTGATTACTTTATTGATTATTTTTATTGATCGATTTCTTTCCAGGATACATGTGCCTTAACATCTCTTCCTCTGCCAGGGTATAAAGCAGAAGCTGTAAAAAATATTCACAATCGACCAGACGTGTTTAAACTGTATCATAAAGATAAAAAAGTTTACCTTTTCGAAACAGAAAGTCATACAGATTTTAAAAAGTAAGTTTCAGAGCCATTTTACTAAACGATACTTATCGAAGTTATTTCCTCTCTGAATCTTTTATTGTCGTGAGAACTACAGGAGATGTCACCTTAGTTTTTTATTTGCCATTCATTTGACTGTAGGGGGGGAGGGGGTAGATGGCCGAATGGTTAGCACGTGCGCGCTGTATCATAAGGTCTGTCATTGAGTCAAATGGTGTGGTTTCGATTCCCCGGTTGTTTGTACGTGGCATGGAGTAGGGCGCCTGTAAAACCTTGTTTTTTCTACGGGTCCTCCCACTGCTAAAGACCCCTACACGCAAGCTAATCATTGTAATAAAATTAAACCATATGTTAGTCCCGAAGTGACCTAGTTTGTGTCGAGTGGACATTAAACCCCATCTCTCTCTCTCTCTCTCTCTCTCATTTTACTAAAACAAAACACAACCAGGATGGCTGTCGATTATTTATTCGTATTAGCCAGTCAAAGAATAAAAAAAGTCAAAAATATTGTCCCAAGTTCACCCTAGTTTCTTATTCTAAATAAGATATTTTAATTCTAAGTGTAAATTTAACGATTGGTACTCATGCTTTTTCATCTTCATCTCGTTTTGAAGCCTCATTGACACATATATAATATATTGCCTAGCTAAGATTATCTCAAAGTGACAACCCTGTTTATATGCTGTTAAGTCTGTGTGCATCGATTAAAATATAGTTTCTGTATTTTGTTTGTTTTCAGATGGATCAGTGTTTTAAATAAAATGGTTAATCTTGAATTGCCAGACGAAACCCAGAGATTTTCATCTCAGTCGACCAGTAGTGGTAATAGCACAGGTAGTGGTGCGAATAGTGCCGACACAACTAACAATAACGGTGAAACATCGGAACCTGAATTAACTGACGAGAACGCGGTTCAAATTTCACATAAACAATCTGTTAAAAAGGGAAGACGGTCGTCAAATTGCTAATGTCAATTAAATATCAGTGAATACGGTGTTTGAGATTCAGTGGATGGATTATTTAATGTGTATATGTGACCAGCGTAAACTTTATTGAATAGAACACAAGTTATATTTTGTGTGTGTTTTTCAGTGAAATGTGACTCAGAAAGTTTGACATATTTAGTGTTATGTGAAGATAGTGTTTCACATGTCTAATATGTGAAGGAATTACGACTTTATATGACTAACAAAGTTTATACAAATTCCGTGAAACAGTAGTGGCGTTGCATTGTATGCTGCAGATGTCAACTGGGTAGGTCTATGGATCAGAAATTTCAAAGTTATTAACACAGTTGATACTGTCAACTTGAGAAGAATTACATGTGCAAAGAAATTATTTTTTTATATGCTGGTCATATAATTTGACGAATGAAATGTGGTTACTATTCGAAATTAAGTTGAAATAATTATGCCTTAGATTTTAGAAATATTTCTCTATAAATAGGCCCTACCAGTTAGAATAATGTTAAATTATGTTTATTATGAAAACAAATGGATGGAAGTTTGTAGACTTAGCCAGAAATCTGGCCCTCAGTTCACAAAGCATTCTCAGACATCAGTTAAGAATTTACTCAACTTTCAATCACTGTTTTTGAGAAATATCTTTGATCCAGAAACGCAAATATTTGCACATAGTTTCTTACTGATGTATTTGGTACATTAAAACAACAAAAGATTTATAAAGGGCTATATTTTAGTTAAAATAAGGCAACTTAAGTCTGAGAATGCTTTGTGAACTTGGGGCCTTGTTGCTCCGATTCTTAACCTATCCCTGATGTCAACCACTCAAATCATATAATCCTTGAAAATGGAACACCACTCTTTGTCAAATTTTTAAATAAAGATCTTACTTATCGTAGAATGTAAAACATGGCGTTGATGTTAAGATATTATTACAGATGAATATGTGAACTTTGTGTACAGATGGCAATTTTCATGACCTTGGAATACAAAACTTTCAAACATAGGCTGTTGGAGAAAGATGGACAGTCACGTTGCTGTAAAGGTGGCCTGGAAGTGTGACTATCTAGCAGTTTTCACTAACTCCGTAGAACATAGATTGTCAGAGAAAGATGCATAGTCACGTTGCTGTAAAGGAGGCGTGGCTTTCTGGGGATCATCTTCAATAGAAGGCTTGATCTCGCTTTAACTCCGTACATCTTATCAAGATCTTCACATAACACCCTGCATGTTTTGGCACTAATTTCGATTGGGTACTCACCCTACTTGGGAGTCTATCAGATTCCTCGATCATCGCGAATACCAAATCTCGCGCTTTCCAGCTAAATTGTCTACCTGTGATAATCGAGTTGCAAAGTTCAAGGTTGGTTCAATGTCATGGTTTCCATGGAGGTCGCTATGTCACAACCTCTGATTGGACGCTACCGTTTACGTGTCTGCAGATAACGTAGCCATAAGTTTGGCAATTGTAAAGTAATCTAGCAACATCCAGATGTTGTAAAACTTGCAGTCGTTGCTTCAGGAACATGTCTGGGGATAGGTTAACTATTGAGTACATGTATTATAGTTGTAGTTAGATACAAAAATTAATATCTTAACATTACCAGGGAAAAGAGACCAATATTTTAAGATTTTTAATTGAAATTATTGTCTTAATTCTCACTTTACTAATCTGTTTGTTGATTAATTCATCATTTATCTTGGTATCCCACAAACTTCAAAATTAAAACCAACATCATGGAAATGGTCATATATAATAGAGTGTTCATGTATTTGTCCTGTGGCGTGCATTTTGTCATAGGATTATAAACTAATTGATAAGAATTGCTTTTTCGTAAGGTTTCTGTTTCTAATTTGAGAATTCGTTTGCGTTAGTTATGTCCAAATTTATGATAATGTACGTTTATTTTATATAAAAGCTATCGAAGCCTGCTTAGAATTAGAATTAATTGTTTTCCAACCTTTTTTTGAACCATGACCCACTGTTAGGCCTTTGACACATGTTTGTTAGGAAAGCACATCATGTAGGGAATCAAGGATCTCCCCTCCGTTGGGCCTTTGCACCATGTTTGTGTTGGGAATGCACCTCATGTAGGGAATCAGTGATTTCTCCCCTGTTGGGCCTTTGCCCCATGTTTTGAATGAGAAGTCTAGATTTTTTTAAAATAATTGTAAAACGAAATATAACTATGGTCAGGAATCAACATTTTAACTTTAATGATAAATAGGTTTAATGTTGGCCTACTCTTATAACAGTTTAACTATATTGGGTAGGTTATTAGTATCTGAAGATAGCATATTTATAGTACATGACAAATATACCAGTATCAGATACATGGTTTTCCACTGGGCCATGTATATGCCGGTCATGACTGCTCTGAGTTAAAAATTGACTGATTCTGCTACAGGAAACAAGGACATCATAAGAGGGAATATATATATATTTGTAAGATATGTATTGCAAAATGATTTTTTTTTTATTAACCCACATCATCCCACTAAATCTTTTATTTAAGTTCATGATTGAATATAATTAGATAAGGCCATACCAATTTTATTCATAGATTTTCACAAAAACCTGTTAAAAATTTGCTTGGTATTTCATGGGTAGACAAACAATACTTGGCCTCAAAGGGCTTTTTTTTTAAGAGACTCAAGAGGCTATTTTTTCTATGGATAACCAAACAGCTCTTTATTCTTAATTCATAGCCCTTAATTCTTATTTCTTCATTTGTTGTTGTATGAATTAAGAACTATGAATTAAGAATACTGAATAAAGTGCTGTTTGGTCTTCCATATTTTTCTATCAAGACTTAGAAGAACTAAAGATAAGTAACTTTGGTCTAATTAAATTAATATGACTGCTGTGCAGTTTTTGCTATTGTATATTTTCATTTCGCGTTCGTGCCATACCGTAATATAATAATGATAATATAAATTTGATTTAAGTTATCAGTATAAATTCTTATTATTATTTGCATAATGTTTGATAAATGATATTGACCGCTTTTTAGGATTTTGCAAAATAAAGGCTTTACATATGTAATTTATACTTTTATTTAATCATTCATATACATTTGAATTATTAGTTCATAATAAATATTTTTGATAATTTGAAGTTGTAACATGTGTATATAGTTATTTATTTCATATTTTAACCCATATAACCACAGGCACTTGTAAAATGTAAAAGGTCTTATATGTACTGATAGAGATATTGGGTCGAGATGAGTTATTTGCCCCTGAATTAAATAATATCGCTTACAGTCACAATACTTAGTCACAGCTTAAACATACATTATGCAAGAGCTAAATCTGCCTATTGCAGGTCTTTCTTTAGGCCTGAAATGTTATCTAAAGTATTAATTAGACATTAATTAACTTATCCAGACCATAATCAACTCTCGATGGCATCGCTAGCCTGAGATGTTTATTAGATTAGGTTCTAATTTGCTGTTCGACTTCCATTCATAATTTAATCAAGAAATGGATAATCAAGACTATGTTTTTTATCCTACCGACTTCAGTAGTGATGATCGAGGCTAGGCCGAAAATTCAATCGCTAAAATCTTGGTTCATAGTGGATCAATTTGACTGACATTTTCAGCAAATTCTCTTTACAGTATCTAGTTTTTAACTATTATAGTGAGAACTGCCAGCTCTTTATCTAATCTCCCATAATATATCTCTAATGTTATTTTTGAAAGCGATTTTCCATGTTACGGGCGCCTGTGGTTTCACTACAAAATTGGTGGCTAATTTATCATTTTTACGTTCCATTTCAAAGTTCATAGTTCAAATAACAATCAGGTTTTAAGAAAATTAATTCAAATATTTTGTTAATTTTTATTGATAGAATTTTTAGAAACTGTTTTGATTGATGGTACATATTTATATTGTCAGTATTGAATTTTTAAAAATGAATTCTTTTATATTCAATGTTGCGCACAGAAAGTAAATTGTTCTTAGCTCAACTGACCATCGATAGATTAATGATAATATATGATAATATTAAATTAGCTATAATTATACTGTTTTATATATTATTATTTTATATTATTAGTGTGAGAGATTTTTTTAGCTTGGCTTTCATTGATATTAGTTTTAACTATGAGCTCACTCCAATGCTGTAACACTGACTGGATATATTGATATTTACTGCATTCAAGTCCCCCTTCTGCTTTTTTCTTCATGTGTTTTAGAAAATGGAAGTTAATAAATGAAAGTCTACTAAATGAAAAAATAACAAAATGTTTATTAAAAATCTGTCGGAAGAGCAAATGATAGTTTTCCAGGGAAGCTTTATTATAACGGATTTAATCTTAAGTAAAGCCTTTATTACTGTAATTTTATAACATTGACTGCATGAATACATTGATATTTACTGGTAGTATTGACTGTTTGAATGCATTGATATTTACTAATTTGGTCCAATATAGGAATTTTAAGGACACAATACTAAGACACATGAATTCACAATACTGTACCATAAAACATCTAAAATGAATGTAATTTGCAAACTTTTTATGCCGATAGTGAAAACTTTGAAGTGGAGGTTTTGGTATGAATACATTGATATTTATTATAATTTAGTATAAATGAACTTCTTCAGTCAGTAAATTACATGAATTAATATTTGAATTTGAAGGGTTTTATGGTCTTTGTTTTACAGTAAATTACATGAATAAATATTTGAATTTGAAAAGTTCTATGATCTTTTCATTTATAGGGACAATAACACTCTTGCTGGCTTGACAGCTCCAGAAAATAAATAATAGCTTTATTCTAAGTACTAGATGTTTAAGTGTCCTACCTGTTGTGTAAATTATCCATTAAATCCTATTTTACTTGTCCAGAGGGTTCGAAAATATTTTAAAATCCAAGTCACATTTGAAAAGGTTTACGTTAGGCTTTTCAAATCATTTAGTTCAATTTTTACAATTTTTAAAATTAGGTGTGTTAAGATGAAATTTATATCACCAATTAATTGGAATATTGTAAAATAGTACAATTTGTTGATCAGAATAAAGATTGGGACATATTATTCAGTAACAACAAGAGTGGTATTGAGCCTTTAAGATTGGAGTGAGTTTTTTTAGTAATAAGATGAATCATCTGGAGTTAGTATATGTCTTCGTTATTTGTTGCCCAGGGTTTTTTTTCTGTTAAAGAGATTTATTATGTTATAAATGTGATTGTCCACCGTAATATACATCCAACAGATATAAATATATAAATAAATTAATATCAAATATTCCCTAAGACTTTTGTTAATTTTTATATTGCCACATTTTCATGTTGACGTATTATTGTCGTCGCCCCTGCCCCTGGACACTCAACAGGTCACACTTCTTATCCGATTTAGACGAAACGTGAAATATAGGTTTATCTCCCAAAGATCTCGGTTCCTTTCGATATTGGCATGTATCGGATCGAAATTTCATGGATTATGTCCCCTGATTGTACGAAAAATCACCTTTTTATCTTGAGGACTCTCTCTAGAGGTCACAATTTTCATCTTATTTTGATGAAACTTGAAATGCATGTTTATAACCCAATGATCTTTGTTCCTTGCGATATTCGCGCCTATCGGATCTTAACTTCCTGAATTACGGCCCCTGATTGTACGAAAATTCACGTTAGTAGCTTGTGAATCCTTTAGAGGTCACAATTATTATCCGATTTAAAAACCTGTTCAACTATATCACCGTTACATCGTAATGTTGGTGGAGTTCGAATTTCGTGAAAATCGGACCAAAACTGCTGGACAAAATGGCCTGGCCGCCCCTCGTACGCAGATAGTGTAAACATATGGTATATCAAGGCTGTGAACCCTTAAGTGGACGTTTTAACCCCGTAACTTCCTGGATTATGGCCCCTGATTGGTTGGAAAATCGCATTTTTAGCTTGTGGATTCTCTAGAGGTCACATTTTTTTTTCCGATTTTAAAAACCGTTTAGATATATCAACATTCCACCATAATGAAGGTTGGATTGGAATTTCGGGAAAATAGGAATGAAACTGCCCGACAAAATGGCCGCTCTTTGTACGCAAATTGTTTATAAGTATGTAATACAAAGGTATGGACCCTCTAGAGGTCACAATTTTTATCCAATTTTGATGAAACTTAAAACATATCATTATATTCCAAAACTCTAAGTCCCTTTTGATATTTGCGCATTTCCAACCAACAACTTTCTGGATTATGGCACCTGATTGTACAAAAATCGTTTTTGTTTTTAGCTTGTTCTCTATCCATCTGGGCGTATCCTGCCTGGCAGCCGCTGGTTTTACCTGTTTAAATGATCATGTTAAATATTTAGATTTGTATGTGTCAAAATAAAGGTAAATTCCTGGCTGCTTCCCTGCTATGCTACTCGAATGCCGACTCGCCCCCACCCCTTCACCACCACCACCATTTTCAATGAGCTTCCTACACCAATGACAAGATAATGACATTAATCCAGCAATACTACTGGAATAAGGCAAAACATACAACCACCAATAGCCCATCTACCAGAGAGTCTGGGTGGGCGTTTAAGGGGAACTAAGTGACCAATCTGATTAAAACACAGATCCTATTTCGTTTCGTTTTTTATAGTTCAAAATTTCGTTTTACTTGTCTTTAGTGTAGGGCACTCGGCAAATCTCGACAGATTCCGGTACCCTACATCTAATCTCGGCTGTATGACAGTAAGTGATATGTGCCTACGCCCATACATTTGCGATGCGGCTACCGGTTTACTTTAAACAGGAAAACGTGTCGCTTTTACAAAAAAATCCCAAATTGCGTCTTTTGTAGAGTGTATAGGGCCTATACCTAAATGAGCAGAGATATTGTCTCAAGGCTGCTGGTTTGATCAAATTCCCTGGTAATTCCCCAAACCCAATGCCAAACGTGACGTTTGTTGATATAATACACTCTCCACAGAAATCGCCATGGGGGCAGCCATTTTTCATTCGGAACCTTTAAAATAGTTCAAATATGGCGGAAATGGTCACACAGCCGAGATTAGATGCGTAGAATCTGTCGAGGTTTGCCGAATGTAGTGTAGGGCTGTAGGCCATCGAAAGTATAAAAAAACGAAATGAAATATAGATCTGTATTTTAATCAGATTGTTAAGTGACAAAAAAAAACAATCTGTAATGTCTTTGTATTGCGTCTTGTTATTGTTTGTTACTAATTGCAGAACGATTCATCAAAAAAACATCCACATCGCTTATTCTCTCTATTATATATTGTTTCATAATTGTGCAAAAATCTATTTTAGGCTCTTATCAAGTTATCTGTGACCCGGCCTAAACGAATGGGGGTTGGATGGCCGAATGGTTAGCACGTGCGCGCTGTATCATAAAGCCTGTCATTGAGTCAACTGGCGTGGTTTCGAATCCCCGGTTGTACGTGACAAGGAGCAGGGTCGCCTGGCCAACCTCGTGGGTTTTCCCCGGGTCCTCCGGTTTCCTCCCACTGCCAAAGACCCTTACGCGCAAGCGAATTATTGAAATAAAGTTGAACCATATGTTAGTCCTGAAATGACCTAGTTTGTGTCAAGTGGACGTTAAACCTCATCTCTTCTCTCTCTCTCTCTCTCTCTCTCTCTCTCTCTCTCCTAAACGAATAGTTTATGTGATGAATTTTCTTGATATTTTGGTGTTTGACACAGTCGCGGTCGGTTTTTGTTTTTCTATTTTGTTTCTTTAAAGTTTCCTGTCAAAATCGTGCCGAACTATTTTATTGCATATCAGTAAAACGAAAACGTAGCGTGGCAGGTACATGTATTTAGTATGTTTTTATGTAAAATCACAGTTTCTGTTCTTTGTGAAAGTGACCTCTTGTTACCCAAGATATACGCCAAAATGACGATAGAGACCATATATTTCTCAAAATTTTCAAAGGCCAGAGGGAGAGAAACCAACCGCCCCCCCCCCCTCAAAGGATACATTGTGTCACGAACCTAGCAAACCCCCTCCTGAAAAAAATCCTGGATCCACCCCTGCTAGTGGCGTCCAGAGTGGTTTCCTTTAAACATTGGGCTAGCATGTTGTCACCTGGCCGGATTAAGCATATGCAGGCATGGTTTTCTCTGATAACAACAGAGGAGCCGCTCTAATACAGGTGAAGTAAAGAAGCAAAATGACATTTCTATTCCATCCAAAGATGATAATTCCCATTGGTTTGCCGTGTGGAGGCCAAAGTCCAGATTTGAAGTTGAAATTAGAAAGTCTAAATAAACAGTTCAGCTGAGAAGACAAGAGAGACTATGTCCCACTTGGTCTGTTGGTCAAAAAGGGATTGACCCAAGGTCTGAAGGTCGCGGGTTCGCTCCCGCTATTGGACGGAAAAGTTTATCAGGATTTTCACTCGTGGTTTTTACTTGTCAGGACGGAGGACCGGACAAGGACAACTGTCTAGTCGTGCGAATGGGCCGAGAGCCGAGGTCCCGCGTACACATTGGCGTGTACGTTAAATGTCCCTTAGCAGTTGGAATTCGATATAAGAGTAGGCCGTGGCACCGCTGTCCGTGTAAAATTTCCCTCATAGCACACCGTATGGCGTATGCCCGTCTTCATTAGCCCAGCCGGAGCAGAACAGTAGGACGTTAAACCCCATTCCATTTCATTTCATTTTTTAAACCGGGCTGTCAAAATGGTGTCTTATTTTGATCAATAGTAAAGATTTAATGGCGATTTCTTGATCAAGAATGAATCTTTATATTGTGAAAAACAACAACCTGTGAAACAGTTAGGAAATATCTCTTCTTTGGAATGTTTCGACAAAAAATAATAACATTTCAATCTGTTTCGGGAAAAGCAGAATATCTTGTTGGGGAAGGTGGGGGGGGGGGGTATTTTAATTTTATTTGGCCAATAATTCATCATAACTTTTTGACGTCTTTTAATTATGACGTCACAATAGGTAAAACGTCATCTTGTTCTATCATTGAGCTATTATATCTGCTAAAAGAAAGACGCTCTGTGATAATTCTCTGAAATTAATTACATTTTCTACGCTTTCGTGAATCCAGACACAAAAGTGACATCAACTATGACTGTATTGTAAGTATATTTGATTATATTGTAAAGAAATTCTAAAAAGTAATATAAAAAAGTTAAAAACTCAATAGTTATTCAATATTTTCGTAGTCGAGTTGAGTACAAGTAAAAGCAAATAAATAAACTAGTTTTCTCTGTTATAAGTTTTAAATGCGGTTTTTGCTTTTTCTAATTAAAGAAGTTTGAATTATAAACAGTATTTTACTTTCTCTTATACTTTGTTTTATATTTATTCCAGAGAAATACCAGATTTTAATGATAGTAGTTTAGACTATGGTGATGTATTAAGCCAGATCATATATGATGATAACAACATGTTTGTTACATTAACTGATGAAGATTTGATTAACTCTACCCTTAATACTTTCAGTAAGTTTAACACTTTACTAGTCAACTCTATAGTTAATACTTTACTTTAATAATCGACCCTATAGTTAATACTTTTAGTAAGTCTAACACTTTACTTCAGTAATCAACTCTATAGTTAATACGTCTAGTAAGTCTAACACTTCACTGTGTCCAAAATCGGTTTACATTAAACGCTACAGTCAAATAACAGAATTAAAACAGTTGATAAAATCACACAAATGAAATGAGGTATAAGGTCTCGTCATTTGAAATAAACTTACGACAATATGCATTTAAACTTGGAATATGGAGGGGTCTATTCTTTTCCGAATTTCAAATGCCAAGACATCTTTTATGAGCTCTACCATTGTATACACGGACCCTCTGTTTTTCACTTGTCCTGTATAGTTTTAACATGGTGAACATTTCATTTATTATCTACCAGGTTCAACTATGTTTTTTGTTTCTTCTTTTCGTTGCTTGAAATTGTTTTTCACTTTTTTTCAGTTGTATCTTACTACAAGAAATGCAACCAAGGATACGAGAAAATTTGTGAACTGAGAGTTCCAAGATCACCTCTATCATCAGCATCAGTATCAAACAATGGAGATGCTAAGAATTTGGACGAAGAATTGGACGACACTTTTCAGCTGAACTTAAACCAAAACCAACATTATTCAGTGATCAACTGGGCTGACGAAATCTCATATGAAGAACCAACAAATATTCCTGATTGGGCATTGATACCTGGAGTAGATTTTGATCGACATGCTAAAGAAAATGTTGATGACTTTAACCAAATTCACCATCAGTATGTTATCAACTGGGCTGAAGAACCCGAGAAGGATGGACCC